TTTGCCAAAATCATCAATATTAAAACAATAAAAGGCTTGAACTACTTCAGTTGTGTGTAATGAATCTAACATATATGAAAGTCTAATGTTTATCAGTCCATTACAGAAAATAATTAACTTTATCACAATATGCTAATTTTTTTTTTGCCAAAATCATCAATATTAAAACAATAAAAGGCTTGAACTACTTCAGTTGTGTGTAATGAATCTAACATATATGAAAGTCTAATGTTTATCAGTCCATTACAGAAAATAATTAACTTTATCACAATATGCTAATTTTTTGAGATAGGAATTTTGGGTTTTCATGAGCTGTATGCCAAAATCATCAATATTAAAACAATAAAAGGCTTGAACTACTTCAGTTGTGTGTAATGAATCTAACATATATGAAAGTCTAATGTTTATCAGTCCATTACAGAAAATAATGAACTTTATCACAATATGCTAATTTTTTGAGAAGGACCTGTAAAATCTTTTGTACTAGTGGAATTTATTATGTTTTGACTACAGCAACAAGATTAAGAAGAGATTTGACACAGTGATTATCACTAGTTGTTGGTTTATTTATTGAAATCTATGAAAACACATTATACACTAATAAATATGTTTATATAATAACTATCCCCACGTTCCTGGACAGGATAAGTGGTTTCAGAAAATGGATGGATGGATATAATAATTATGATACATAAACATTCTAGAAGTATTCCTGCACACTGACTCATATATAGCATAACAGTGACTATCAAAAGGCTATGGTAGAAAACGTTTTCAGTTTTGTAACGGCACAATAAAATAATAGCACTAATTAAATTTAAAGCTATGAGTGTTTATACTGTTTGAATTTTGTTCTCGATTTTTGAATTTTATTTTTCGTAAAAGTAGTAACTATCCTCATAATTGTTTCATACAGGTGTTTGGGAGGAGGCAAAATGCAGTTACTCTCACACTTACTGATATTGCACAGTGACTCCATTGAGCATGGTAATACATGTGGCGAAACAACTAAGTATCTGTCAAAGTTATTCTCTGGGTTATTCTTTGTATTCAAAGTAATGTTCTGTTTACGTAACGGTCAAATTCGCAAAGATGAAACAGGCATCCAAGAACAAAACCTCGAAAAACCAAGTATCACCAGCAGAGGGAGCTATTGCATAATAAATATTTTGCTTTGCATTTAGCAAAATCATGTCTGCATTTTTATCACTCATAAGTGCTACTTCACAGTACTGTATTGTTATCTAAATCAAGATATATTAACATACTGTATATAAAATGTATTCTTCAGTATCACACAAATGGCAACGTGTTATGTGTTGTGGTTTTCTATAGAGAAAATATTTTCATTTCTCAAGCTTTGCCCTGATTGACAGTGGCTGAAATTACATACAGGCATATTAACTGTTCGGAAAGCTGCATGACCTGTGTGGTCTGTGTAAAGCTCTTTATTTACGTAGTATTCTTTCATTCTTATATGTACTAGCAACATTTTATTGAACAATTTAGGTACTGAAGTTGATTGTGTCCATGCCTACATTCAGATATTTTAGGCATTCGTGGATTTAAAAAACAATTCGTTACACTAGACTGAAGGGAATTTCCTTGGGGAAAACAGCTTTGTAGCTACAAAATATACACCTATCACCAGAGGTGGAGATTTCAAGTCCCGAGAGTACGAATCCAGACCAAGATTTTTTTACAACCAACCAGCAGAGTACCCTGTGACTCTTTATACCCAACTGGTTGGTTGGAACAAAGTCTTGGTCTGGATTCGTACTCTCTGGACCAGAAACCTCTACCTCTGCCTGTCACGTGTTACTTTACTTATGAACAGGACTTGGAAAAGTGAAATCCAGCAATGCAGACAGTGACAATAAAACTTATCCAACAAACAGAAAGAACATGAACATAATAATAAAGATACAAAGGAACATGAACATAATTTAAAAAACACCTTACAAATCACATTAAAGCAAAACATGAGGCCAAGCTGGGTTAAAAAGCATCATATAAAACAAATTAACATATTCCTAAACGCATCTCAAAATGCATTTCGTGTTCCCAAAACAAACAGCATAAATGCAGTTCAAATAAAAGTACGATTGAGACGGGTTAATTTGCAGGAGCCTGCCTGGAGATGATCGCTGGAGTCCAAGGTTGCACTGGACATCTGGCATACTGGGCGTTTTCCCGGTGGGCCAATGGGTACATAGGCCCAGGACCCCCGGGTTGACAAAGTTAATCATGGGGCAGCCCCCCACCCCACCCCACTCTATAGTCCAGGGCTGGGTTTTAAACTAAAAAACTGTGAGTGGGGTGAGATGGAATGGGGCGTCATTTGTATTAGACGAGGAGGAGTAGAGCAAAAAGAAAACAAGAAGGGAGGAATCAACAAAGGAAACTGGTGTAGTCTAAACAACCAGTAAGTCTACGTGACTTTTACAGCGGGACTTTTGAGAACATGAGGCGTAGCCTCGTTGATCACATGCTTTCCATCAGATCCAAACGTTGGTCCTGAAATCCCAACAAGTGGCTACTGTGAGTGCAGCAAGCATCAGTGGGTCGCAAAGGCACCAGAGCCCCCCTCTCAAGAACCGCTCTGGTGGAACCATCGAGGCATACAGATGGAAGAAACCTGACCTGGTCATTGCTAAACCTGGCAAAAGAAACTCTTGAAAGAGAGAAACCACAAGGTTATCTGAGCACGGGTGTCTGATTCTTAGGCCATACACTGCCCGGGCATGTTCATAGCCAATGTGAAGTGTCTGTCCAAGAAGTAATACTTCACTCTGAGTAATATTTGAGTCACTGCCAATTTGATAGCGAGGGCCAGCTTTCTGACCACAACATACCTAATTTCTGTTGGCAATAGTTTGCAACTCATGTTTAGCATTGGGTGTTCCTTACGTCTGACTCCTGGACCAACACACCAAGGCTGATATTAGAGGCATCCATCTGGATGATGAATGGTGAATCGGGGGATCTTACAATGAGCTTCAAGTTGAAAGCTATCTTAGCAAGCATGTAATAAAAAGCATTCCTTAATAACCTGAACACACGCCAGTCATAATGATCATAATTTTACCTTTTCAAAACAGTTGCTAAAGCACATGGGAGTCCTTAGAACCCCAGTTTCCAAATTATTTTCTTATGGAAGCATGATGAGGTCACCACTTGTCAGCATTCCCAAGGTGACTATATCCATATGCCATGCTCCAAATCACAAAGACATAAATGCTTATATAAACCACAGGTTTTTAAAAGATCTTGTTTGCCTCCTTTAAGGCCCAACATTCATGAACGGCAGGGCCACTCAACCCCCTTGGATGCTGTCTTCTGAGGGGGGGGGGCAATTTCACTTTGCCCTAGACAGGGGGCAGATGCTCACCTATGGCATCACATTGGCTGGGACCAGTACTACATGTACAGAATGGAGACGATTGTGTCAGAAAAAGGCATAAGATTCGATTCGCTTTGCAGGCAATATTTCTTCCTTCCTAACGAAAATGCAGGCAGCCTTATTCACATGCTGTCGCAATGAGTTTGCAATAACATGCTACATTTTTGAAAGCTGTGAGTATCAACTGAAGTAATTTCAACATTGCACCATTATTGCCAAAGAATTCTTGCGAATATTATAATAGTTTTTTTTTTTTTTAAATGTAACTTAAGATACACACTTTGAAAAGTAACCGAGAAAAAATGCACTGAAATGATCCCCTTACAACAGCAGAGCATTCTTTGACCAACAGTTATACATTGAACCATTGTCTTCACGAAAGAAGCCTTAAAGAAACTTTATGACCTCTTACAACCTTGCATGTTTACTGTGGGGGCAGTGTTGCCAACTCATGCATCTGGCATGACATTCATGCTTTCAGACTCATATGCTCACACAAGACATCTTATAGCAAATTTATATTATTCCATTATAAACCTAAAATTACCTACATCAAAAGCACTGGGATAGTTTGTAAACCCTACAGACCATTTACACAGTAATAAAACTGTTACATGCATGTAAATGCATGTGCATCTGCGTGCAGACTTGTCTCGAATTGAAAATCTCACGCCAGCCAGCTGACAAAGTTATCAACCCTGTACTCCTATTATTTGCAGACAAATTGGCATGACACATTAGATAAATATATAAATGATTTATATTTTAGTCATAATTACACAAATGCATTGTGTGAGAGGGAATGAGAAAGTAGCATCAAAAATGGTTGGGCTAACTGGTAGGGTAGCTCCTGCTCATTTAAAAAGCTGGGGTCCCTGGGGAGGATTTACGCGTTTTAATGGTGTCTTCCCATCCACGTGCCCCACTCAAGAAACAAACTGCCTCTTCCACAAGGCCAATAAAAATGACGGCCAGCAGGACAAAATGGCCAATTCAATTTAGCAAATGTAGAGTGAAGCACCACTCAGACTGGTCTGGAAAGTGAAGCAGGCTTATATCATTTAAGCAATTTCAAACCCCACCTACATAGCCTAGGTTTTCAAATTGTTAATCCAATCGCATTTTAGGGGTATAAAAATTTGGGGTCTCATTTATCCAAGTGCAAGCAGAAAAAGAAACCCTAATCGTGAGTACTCGTACTGTACTTTCACTATGGTATTTATGGAAAGTTCAGCAAATAAGACCCCCGAAGTCTATGATGGGAAACAGAAAGATTGGAGTTTCCCGGTGTTTCGATGGGTATGTAGGCAGGAAATATTTCTCATAGGGGACTCCCCCACCGGATAAAATGCATGGCTCAGCAAACAATAGGCTATCATCACAAAATTAGCTGTATGACCATGGGGGCGGGGGTGTAGCTATAAATTCTGCCCCCCTGGAAAAATGTGACTGTACCCCGCACCCACCACCCAATTTGGCATGTAATTTAATTTATTCAAGGGTCCCTGTACAGTGTGGGGGGCCCTGAATCTGTCAGGTATCCATGCCCCTACTTGCACCCCTGTGTTGGGGTGAATTTTTAATCCCAGTCCAACCCTAGCTGGCAGGAATCTGGCGGTCATCCTGATGAAAAGGACTTGGATGAAAAACACATGCATTCACACCAGAGGGACAATTTAGAGTAACCACTTTACCATTTATAAATTAAAAACTATCCGTGGATTACGTGGCAAGGCAAAATCGAAACCGTACAAATATATGTACAGAAGAATCGACAAACAGAAACTTGTTATGCACAGGTCATACTGTATAAGCGTATTACTTTACTGGCCACACAAGCATTAATACAGTCGACGTCTTTCCAGTTGTTAATCCTTCGTTTTCTGTTCTAAAAGCGGGGGATGGTGCGCAAACGTAATGGAATATTTCCCTTAAAGGACACCATTCATTAATATGCCTCGTCTCCTTCCTTATTTTCAGCCTTTTTATGGAGGTGGGGGAGGGGAGGCAGTGGGTGTAGCCCGGTCTCAGGCTCGGAAAGCGCATTCGGTCCGCTTGCACGCCGCGCCTGGCCGTTAGGGGACACTTATTAAGCCGTTTTTCCAAATCTGAAACAAATAACAAAAATACATCGAATATGGGAGTGGAAGGTTGCACAAAATGCATCAAATACTTACTATTTATCTTCAACTTCATTTTCTGGGTGAGTTGTCTTTTAATTATTTTCTAAAATATTCCATTAAAGGATTTAATACTAATCCTAATCAAGAGATCGTTTTTATATATAATCGGTATATAAGTTTAAGCATGTGATCCTAAGGAGCTAGCTGGCGAAGGTGATCGTATTTTAGGCTGCGTTTGTTAATTATCGCGCTACTGTCTGGTTAAAATGCGAGGAAATGTTTTTTTTCTTTTATCCAGATTCACCTTTATCCCAGTGATCGCTTTTAATCAAAGCACAATGCGAAATGCTTACATTTACATAAGGCGACGCAAGTGTATGTTTTGAAAATGTATATCGGAAACGTGTTGTTTCTTTATCTTTAAACTTTGGCTAAGAGGCTGGAAAGAACCGCTATCCTTCGCATTTGCAGGCCTGTTATGTTACCGCAAGGTAACCGCTCACTGGTCGCTTTCTAAACGGTTAACTATTTTATTTATTTAACTTAATTTAAGCCCGGAATCTTTGAAATGTACTGCATAATCCGTTAAAACAAAAGGAAATCTCAAGACAGTGTTATGTAGTCTAATTATCTGTGTTGTGTTTTTTTGGACAATGTTTTCGGCACCTTTTTCGGATTTCCCGTCTCTACGCGGTGTGGGATATGTTTGTGTTGGATTACACACTTGGCCGTGTATGTAGCTCGTGTTAAATCACAAAAGGTAAAATTTCGATGTTTCTCGTCGAAATATAAAATGGTCTGACGTCATGGGCGAGTCTTGATGTTTTTTTGTTTTTTTTTAAAAAAAAAAAAACATAATTGTATTTTGCCTTAAAAAGGGCGAGTCCTTTTACTTTAACACCAGAGTTACCGGAGGGGATAATATCTGCAAAAAAGTAAGAGTAAAAAATTCCTAACATACTTATGTAAAATTAATTTATAAACTTGTATTATAAAACTTAATTAGTGAACCGCTGATGAGAATTATAGTTATGGTAATAAGGCTTGTAAGCTGTCCATTCCCTGTTACCTAGGAGACTGCCTGCACTCCCTGTTTTACGTTTATTAATTAAATGCTTTCACAGACATCCCAGTTGTGTCTTTAGACAAATTACAATGACAATAACAATAGGCAACGAAGGTAAAATAGCTGGCGCAACTAAACTTTCCCAGAAAATCGTCTTCTTGGAAGCAAGATAATTGCTGGAACTTGAGTAGAGAGGGAGGGAGAGAGAGAAAAGATTTTGAGAGTGTGACTCAGTTATCCGGAAGAATCTTTCTAAGGCTTGTGGTATTTTGGGATGACAAGGGTACTGAGGACTGAATGCCTTGATTGAAACAGGGTCTTCTATTGTCGGGCTAACATAAACTGTGGGTGGGTTGTATACTTTAGCTTTCCCTTTAATGCCCGTCACTAGCAGCTTGTAGACAAGTGTATATAGACATGGGACTGTTGTATCTGTTGCGACAACTGGAGAAACACTTACATGAGGTTTATCGGGACAAACATTACTTGGCGCTTCTGAGGGTCGCATCACTCTCCATATCATGGTTTAGTTGGTTTCTTGAGTAGCAGGTTATTTACGGTATAGGATGAGGGCGGAGTTTCCGGAGACGTGAGGTGTCAGATGTCGTTCTCTGCCTTCCAGTAAACACATGGCTGTTGAGAGTAGCGAGTCAGAACAATTTGCAGATCGTTTAACTGGGATGGGAAAAAAAACGAAAGAAAAGGGAAACCTATTATGTAAAGGCAGCACAATAAAGAATTATACACAAGGCTTTCTTTGTGAGTGCCGCAAAAAGAAGTTGCTCAGAAGTTCTTTGGGTGAGTGGTTCATGTGATTTCAGGGTATCATCAAATTGCCTTTCCTAGACTACGGTTTGCCAAGCGATATGTGTCTTGTCCACCAAGCCCCCATTCCTAGCATGCTTTTCATTCTGTCCTTCTACTAGCTAGACAGAAATAGCTTCCTCAGCCAACTGCCAGTGCAGAAACACTGACGTGAGAAGCAATCGTATGTCTGAGCCACCTTCAGATTATCCCCAAATAGGTGATTACAACAAGGTCGGACACGTTTATCTGGAACCTGTTTGAACTTATAACTATTTACCAGGTTAGATATTACTAATGCTTTTTAAGGCCTTTTTAAGGTAAATGAACCACCTCAAAGTCTTGCCACCCTGTAGAAGATGCTTGAGGGTTATTGCATGGCTGGATGTAATAAGTAGCCATGTAGAGAATTTTAACTTAATCTGTGGTAGAACCTGTAGAAGTTTCATTTCAATTGTAGTATGTAATTCAACTCTAAAATGGATTGAAGTCTGTAATTCATTTCGGAATGCTTTTTTTTCGGAAATGCTTGAAAATTTCCAGACAAGTTTATCCTGTAGAGTGTGGTGTACTGACAGGTTTTGAATCGATACAAAGTCTCATTACTCATAGTGCTTTTAGGAAGAATTTATCCAAGGACTTTACCATTTGGTGGTTACATCATCTTTTCTTCTAACCTACACATCCTAACATGGAGGAAACCACAAAATCCTGAACAGACAATTAGTCATTTCCTATCATATGGCCCTAGGTTTTATTTGTTTTCTGCTATAGATACTGTCATGATGTTGCAATGTTTTTTTAAGTACAGATTAAACAAAGACTGAACTATGTTGTCAGAATGGAGAACACTGCAAACAGGCCCAGATCTCCACGAATATGCCTGCTGCGGGGTGAGAGTTTTTGGAAGGTTCTCGTGACAGTGTTGTTTATAATTTTTCTGGTGTTTAATCTGTGAAATATGAATATTATTCTCTTCCTTTGTTTTCAAACTACCTTTACGTTCTATCTCTAAGATCTAATCCTGGATAAGAGGTCTAATTTGAAAAATCAGGCATATTATCTCTCAACATGTTTGTATTTATTACTATAGTTTATTATTATTATTTTTTAAAATATGGAAGCATAGTTTTTTCTTGACACCACTTCTCCATTTCTTAAGATACTTTAGTAATTGGTAATCGTCTATTTTTTCTGCTTAAATGAGTTCTCTAGTCTAAGGTGGCAAAATAATTAATATAAATATTATGCTAATTGAAAGGAAAAGCTTTGCCAATACTAGACATAAACTGCAAGAAATGTTCCATGCTTTTCTGAGTTATACAGGGGAACACCCCACCTTCTGGAAACTGTTGTACATGGCATCAATGTATCATAGGATTACAATTAACAGACAGAGGGGCTTTTCAGGGGAAAAACAGTATGGAATTGCAGAAATAATTAAATGTTTTCACAGACATCCCCGTTGTGTCTCAATAATCGAGTAATCTGCTGATTTAAGCTGATGATTCATCAGGTAATCTTTTATAATATATAATATGCATTGGAATTGCAATAGTCACACATATGGTCAGTTTAGACTCATGCACACACAGGGCAAACATGCCAACTCCACACAAAGTGGAGTACCCACTGTGCTGCCTTGACATTGTGGAAGCTTGTGTGATGTTTTCTGCACATGCAGTTGTCCCTTTGCAAGGGCCTCAATAGTCTATTTCCATTCAGTTTTAATGTGAAGTGCTTCTGCACAAATGATGTTTTCGCTCTTTATTTTGACCCTCATCCTCTATCCTCCCTCTACCATATTGCCGAGTAATCGATAAGGAATATAATTGATGCCTTTTAATTATTAAGTAATCGAGTTTGAGTAATCATGACAGCTGTAGTCAACAGTTAAATACTAGTATAATAACTGGTGACATTAAGACACACAAAGAAATACAGCTAACCACCTAATCGGTGGGGAAAGATTGTGCAAATTGGCATGTAAATGGAATGTGCAATAAACGAATAGGTATAGTTTCAGAGATATGTTACAACTAGGACTTAGAGCATTTGAGTAAAAACACATTTATTGGATTTCACATTTCCAGTTGATCCATCCAGTAATCCAAGAAATTGTAGAGGTTGGGGGGTGTGGGAGGGGTATGGATTTGATGGGGGGCAGGGGGTGATGGGGCTGCCTGGGCGTTACATTGTCGTTCTGACAGCATCTTCTCTAGTTTAACAGGAGAAACAACTTGTAGCAACATGATTTGTTTTCTGCCTATCTGAAGTGACTGTTCATAGATGACTAGACAGGTAATTTAGAGATTTAAGGTTCTTAAACACCCAGGTGTATTCCTTAAGTGTACTGAGCAACTTCCTTACATCCTTAGTAATGTTTCTTTAATTGATGGTGAACATTATGTTTTGAGTTGGACTTGCATTATATTACCAGTTCCTCTGGACATTAATAGAGGATGTGGCTCCTGAGTGCATGTGCTTGATGGGTTTCACTTAAATTTGACATGGATTATAATAATAATAATAATAATAATAATAATAATAATTATTATTATTATTATTATTATGCTGTTGCTAAACACAGACATGCTAGTCAAATTATATGTACAGGGCAAGATGGTTGTTTATTATTATTATTATTATTATTATTATTATTGTTAATATTATTTGACTTTGTCAAGTCAATACCAAATCCTGGCACCCACAAAGATGGCATTTCTCTGGAATATCTCTCTTGTCTTCACCTTAAATAAAATACTTATCAGTTATTTTGGAACTGATTAAGTAGAAGCCAGGGTATTTTATTGTGTTGTGTATTGATTTTAAATTGAACATAAATTAGAAGTTGTAAAAGTCACCCAGAAATGTTCTGTACATTGGCTCAGTGACTGGAGAAACAATCAACACAATGTGAAAAAATGTCTGCTTTTTAGATCAAGTAAAAATGTGGCAGCTGAAGAATTTATAAGTCTTAATAGAAAGTTTATGTCTTAAAATGATACGTTGGTGACTTAAACAGCGTTGTTCTCCATTTTCCAAAACTGCCTATCCAGTAGATGGTTGCAGGGAACGTTGTTTTTCCATCCAAATCTGTATCTAAAGTATTCCAGTGTCTTCAGTTTATTTCTTGTCTGGTGTTCCGTGCAGTATACTAATGTCTCCCATGTCCCTTTGGTTTTAGAAGATATAATTCCAATCTTTCAATTCATGAGGAAGGTAATTTTGATTATTTTTAATCACAATTTCAAGCAAAAGTTTTATATCAGGTAAGGCTGTTTGCATGTACATGATTTGGTAGACAGTCACATTCCTAAAATAACTCCATGTTTTATACTTGAGATTTTTTTAATTATTATTTTTGGCTGATTTTGAGAGACTGGAAATTAAGATCGAATACCTCCTGTTAATTTTAGGGCTGCCACTTACGACTGTAGATTTCTGTAGATTAATCTATCCACTATTTTATCGATTAGTTGATTAATCAAAACGATTAATTTTCCTCTAGAAAATCAATTTGACTGTTTAATTTAAGGTCATTTTATTTTGAGTACAACAAATTGTATGTCATTGCAGGGCTTTAGCTAATGTACGCAGTATGCGTATTGTGATGCCCAAAAGTTAGTAATCTGTATAAATTTGGCATATCCTGACAATGAATAAATTGTTAGCAGAGCATGCCACTTGCAACACAAACGATAAGCACTGAACTCGCGATTAAGGAAGGGACAGGTTAGCAGCCACAACATCTTTTAAAGGAAGAGATAGTGGTTAAACAAGATAAAAGGATGTTGGTGGTGTGGCGGTACTTTTTGCAGATTAAAGTTTTCATTTTAATTTCAGTTCACGAGTTATTTTCTTTTAACTTTATGGCTTTAACAATTTGTGCATTTAGCAGCTACAAGGACAAAAGATATTAAAAAGCACTCTGTACTAATGGTAATTTAAAAAAACATGAATGGACAACACGATGGTTTAGCCTTTTCTGGTGATCTAGAATAGCACCTGTGAGCGTTCTCTTCCGGTGCGCATGCATATCGCTGGTACCGCCGTGGTACGCCATCGTATTTTGCACAGCGTAAAACCACCTTTCTTTTCTGGATAATTTGAACTACTCCCATAATTACCTAGTGATATTAAAGGAAAATGTGTCATAATGAATTGAAGAGTTTCAGAAATCATAAATGTAATTTTATTAAAATAATAAAAACCGTCGCGCTGATTTAAAATACTGATGTCAACGCATTTTCGGCGTCAACGTCATCGACTGTGTCGACTAATCACAGCAGCCCTAGTTATGTTAACACTAAAGTCAGCTTATGTGCTCTAACCTTCACACTCAATGTTCAGAAAACTGTGATTGCGAGTCTTTTTAAGGCACACCCAGTTGTTCCTCATGATTGCTCACTTGGTATTGCAGTTTAACCGCCTCTGGAAATATTTACTCATTTCGGGAAATCTGAGTCATGTTTTCTTCTAGCGCTAGCTGAAGGGGAAGGATCAAGCTACCTAACAATCTGTGTATCAGATTTTCACTTAGCTGAATTGAATGAGAAGTTAATTATTTTTAAAGAACCTGTCTTGCATTCCTGACAGCAAGGCTCAAAATCAGACCTTGAAGTATGAGAGTGAGGGCAATGGTAAATGTCCAGCCACCGTTATTCTCATGTGAGAATAAGCCAGATACAGTATTGGTTAGATACTGAGTGCCAAAAATACCACCACCCCCATCAATGGAAAGAGAGAATGATTGCAGTGTGTGACAACTGTGATGCCCACTGTGCTGCCTTGACAAGCCTCCACAGTGTGTGATGTTAATTTTGACATGGCATTTCCTGTACATGCATTTGTCCCATTGCCTCAGTCTGCTGGGTTCAAACCATCAATAAGTTGCATCGCAAGTTTTTTTACTCGGTCAGAAAACCAAATTTAGCAAGCTTTGCAATCTTTTTGGGTGTTTTGCCACATTTGTGAGAAAATAAAAAGTAAGTGAAGTGGAAGAAAGTGAACAGGAACTGGTCACAAGAAAGAGTCATTTTGTGCAGCATATATAAGTTGTATTGCATAGATGATGTTGAGAGTGAGGACAGTGGTTAATAATTGTAATGCAAGAATGGGCGAGATACAGTAATGGTTGGATACCAGCGCCAAAAATAGCACCCCGCCCTCATGAAGGGAGAGATATAATGAAGAGCAAGAGATATCTGACTCAAATTAAACTAGCCTCCTTCATGCCATGCAAGAATAAAGAGTATGGCCCCTCACCACCCAGTCAGTGAGTTTTATTGTAAAAAGCAGAGGTTAGAGTTAAGTAACTACCTCTCTTTTCAAGTCACATCTAGTTGCTGTAACTAAACTAGGCAGATGCAGATATGAATATTCTGTTTCCCTTGGCCAAACAAAGTAAAAAATTTGGATTTGGTTGGTATAGGGGGGGAATTTAGTTTACTCTCTGCTGTCTTCATGGCTTTTAAAATTCTTGTGAGGTCTTCCAACATTTTTCTGCGAAAGTATTTAACCGGTTACCAGGCAACCATTAAAAGGAGAGGCAGTCCCAGAGAGCTGAAGAGCAGAGAGATGCTTCGAAGTTATTTTGGGCTTGTTTACAGGCTGTTTCTTGTTTCAGTTGAAGCTGGGATTATGTTTTTCCCCCTGAATTGCTGATTTTAATTGAAAACATTAACATGGGGGGATATCTCTGGACTGAATCACAAGCCTTCATATGCAATGACTTCACTTTACTTTGCTGTACCACATCCTGTCCATTTAGCCCTCTGGGTTTCCATACAACTTTTAACCGTAAATGTGTTAAACTATAATTAATCAAACTGGACAATACAGTTTAACATTGTTTATGTAATACGAAGAATGAAAGATCTTGGTTTGATGCTTTCTAAAATTTTAAGAACATTTGATCTGTTGTCATATTGTTATTTAAAACCTGTTTCTTTGTTATTTGAGCCTGATACCAGTGAAGGTAAAACTGGAAAATGGTGATGTTGTTGTAGACCCTCTGATAAGAAGAGTGAGCTAATGCAACAAGCAGAGATCCACCCAAGAACCTTTCAACAGCTTTTTTAACACTTTTTTTTTACACTCTAATTTCAACAGCTAACTGGGTTCAGTCAGCTCAGCTGCAGTTTTTTTTCTAGCTAAATGGTAAAAATGGGATTTATCACTGTTTTTAGTTTGAAAGATGAGTGTTTTCTGAATGAACACAGTGAATGTTCTGATTTCTCCTGCTCCACAGTAAGAGGTGGCTTGGGGAATATGTCTAAAGTAGATGTGGGTCTGCTATGAGATCCGTGCAGATGGTGGAAAGAATGGGGGGGGGGGGGTTGTGTTTTCAGATTTGTTGAACTCTAGGCTTTCCAGCACTTCTCACAGTTTCCTAGCATTCCTGAGGCTGGAGCCGCACAGCGTGTCATCTGGCTGAAGCCTTCAGTCCTCCAGCAGACGCCGAAACCAGCTCCAGCCTGCAGTAAAGGCAGTGCCCACATGGCCAGTGGAGGGGGGGGCATTTCTTACCCTCTGGTGACTCTTGATTTCGCATAGTTAGCACTTCAAGCTCGTTGAGCTCCTGTAGCTCAACAAGTAAAGCATAGCGCCAGCAATACAAAGGTCAAAGGTTCAAATCCTAGTGACCACCCACAAATTGTAACCCTTCTCTCTGCTGTAAGTCACTTTGGACAAGAGCACCAGATAAACGAATAAAAAAGAACACGGCCTAATTCCCCCCATGTTTTTTTAAATTGTTTGTTTTAGTTTTCGCACTTTGTCAGCATTGTTTAGTTACACATCCTGTTTTTCAAGAGCAAGAGACCTTTGTAATGGAGACAACTCTGCGCTGGCTAATGAGTTCAGCCGAGGAGTAAATGGTCTGTATTAATAGCTCTTTAGTAATTGCCTTCTAAGCACATACAACTTTTCTTTTTAACCCAGTTTCCCTGCAGGAATTAGTGGATTACTACAGCCAGACAAAAGGAAAACATTGCAGAAAAATGCAGACACTTTTACTAATCCTGTCCTCTCTGTTACTCGACCATAAGCATGTACTTTATAATGTTTAAACTGCTTGAATATGTGGCGATTTGCCAATTGCAGTATCTTTTTTTATATTGAGAGGTCAATCAAAACAAGGGATAAGTCAAAGGTCAAAGTCAAGCTATGAGAGGTTTCCCTGTGGCACTTTTCCACAACCACCAAGAGCCGAGCCGGACCCAAGCTGAGGGCTGACATGGCCTTGCTTACGCTGAGCTGGTTACGTCACCACCATCTGATTGGTCGGAATGCATGGAGATACCGATGTTCTGCACATGGATTATTTGAAGGAAAAAGCATATGTTCTATATTTTATTAATTATTAGTAGTATCGCACATGGCGATGTGTTTATGCATTCCCATTTAACTCTGCACTTAAAAACAGTACTGTAGAATAGTTGAACGGAATGAATTTGAATGCAAATTTACACATGCAAATGTTAATTTGATGCTAAAATAACAGCGAATCTCACAGACATGCTAGCGGAAATTGGCACACAGTAAAAAAAAAAAGAAATGCATGTTATTATTATTAATAATAATAACATGATAATTGCACATAGTAAACCATGATGTACACTGAATGAACAGGAAATAAGCTTCTCTTTGGTTTTACATCACTGTCGCTATCCAAACCTGGCAACACCTTTACCGAGCCGACCCTTCTGCAGTGGAAAACCGAAAGGAGCTGGAACTGCGCTGTAACTAGCCCCCTTTCGCGGTACGGCTCGGGTACGACTCATTTCCTGTATGCCAGTAGAAAAAGTGCCAATGATTTTTGTCCCGTTCCTCCAGCTGGCCGGTGGTGTCATTCTGGGTGTGGGACTCTGGCTTCGGCATGACGAACAGACCAGAAACCTCCTTTCGCTGGAGTTCGACGGTGCCCAGGCTCCCAGCACCTTCTACATCAGTAAGTCATTTTGCTTTTTAAATCATTCCAGGTAACAGTCTTTATCACACCCATGGTAATATAACTGGTCTTCTGCCTCCCTGAATTTATGCTTTAAATAATGCTCCTTAAATGAATGTGTTCCTCATTCTTTGAAAATGTAATTTCATGTTCCCCATTCTTTGGAACAGTTTCCTTTTAGGTAGGAAAACTGTAAGAGAAGTCCCGTCACTGGCTCTGTGAGATGTTGATTATTAGTTAGCAGGCACCACTATCTCCCAGGAACAGCTGTTGTCTATATTGGATTGTAAGCCTCCTTTTAAGGTTACAGGGGAGACGCTGAGAAAGAACAAGGGGGTTGGTGCTAAATGACCACAGAGAAAACTGAGCAACTGAAATGCTATCCCTGGCTCTCCACACTGGCAGTTTACACTGCAGGCCGACTGTAACCAGCCTCCATTAGCAGGCCAGGACCGAGCAAGGGGGCTGTTCATTACAGGCCACTAGCCTGGGTCTAACCAGGCAACAAGGAAGGGGCTGTGCTGGTGCAGAGAGCCAAACGTCCCGCTGACCTGTGGCCCTCTCTTGTCAAACAGCATGTGAAAATTCCTGTTGGAGGCAGACAGTCTTTAATGGAAACATCTTTACACAACAGCAGCACATTCTGGGAACACTTTACTTAAAACCATCTGACGGATTTTGTCTTTGGAAAAACATTCGATTTGGGGAAGATTAAGAACGTGTGCTGCTTGGTGTACAGAAATGCATATCATTGGGTCTGCAGTATATGAAAGCACACTGACCGGCATATAAGCGTGTAAGCCTAGGTCAGTGAGACGGTGTCAGTTTCAACTCATTTCAACCAACTAGTTGTTTTCTGCTGGTTAAAGTAGCAAACTTTGTGAACTGCCAGGGGGTGGTGTGCGGATGCTGTGCCCATCGTCGGAAGGTTGCTGGTTCAATTCCCATGGTCAGCACAGCGATTCCATCGTCGGACCCTCGAGCAAGGCCTTTAATCCCAGTTGGCTGACCCTTCTCTCTTAGTTGTATGTCACTAGGTAAAAGTTTCTGTTAAATAATCAACGTTAGACTGTTAAATAAATGTAACACTTTTCCAGACTGCCGCACGTATTGTGGCATGTAGTAAGAAGTGAAACTGACATAAAGACCACAAATGTGGAGATACGGCTCTCCTGCTGGGATTCATGTCCAACAAATCAATGGTAAGAACACTGCCCCCTGCTGACAACTCAGCGCCTGGAGCCGCAGCCTGTGTACACAAGAATCCTAGAATAACCTTGCCTGCACGGCCAACGGAAACAGAGCTGTTTTCAAATGATTTCTGTGGTTACGAGCTCCTTAGAAGAAAAACACACTTTGTTTTATTTTCTTTACTTCCTTCACGTCAACATTTCCTTGTTTTTTTTTATTTTTTATTTTTATTGTTAAATCCTTCCACCGCTCAATTAAGAAACATTACTGATTGAAGTTGATCTGATTCTGCGACTGGAGAGCATGTGATTTGAGTATAAACAGGAAGCACAGGGAGGTCAGGAATGCCTCTGCTGATGGAGCATGACCCTGACGACACCGTATTTCATAAATCACATTTTTGGAAAAGGCCGAACTATCAGTAATAAGTTTCATTTATGTTAAATAGAAGGATTGCACTGTATTGCTTAATAGGCTGGAATTGCAAGCAACTTTTCCCATAAGCTATCAGACTCGTCATCTTCTATCAGGATTTAGTTATTCAGTCTGCTCTTGCTGGTTTTTTTTTTTTTATAATTTTTATTTTAAATTTGTCCTTTTTTTTCTGTATGCACAGAACATACCATAGCAGCCAGCAAGTGTCTTAATAGTGTGTCTTTTATCTAATGATGCTGTCCCTCATTGGCATGGAAGCAACAAGTTCACCTATAAACAACAAGAGTCCAGACACGGTCAGTAAGTTGACAGCCAGGTGGAACCACAAAAACCCTAACCTGTGATCAAGACGCAGGCAGTAGATCTTGGAGCCAGGATAAGAAAGCCATGATAGAGGAACCAAATAACCAGAAGACAAAGACCAAACACCAATAGGTTAAGCCAATGTCATACACAAGAACGGAACTGAAACTGACAGTGACCCACCTGGGCTTGGCTGGACTGAGACCTGCTTAAATGAGGCTGCAGAATCTACAGACCCTTTGATAAACAGCAATCAGCAAATGCTTTAAATGGATGAAGGGAATAGCATGTCATCTTTGCATCATTGATCATTATAACCTTTGGTTATAATGGAATATTAAATAAAGTGATGTTTCCAAAAGTACTGAAAGTGAACCCTAACCCCACAGTACAAAGTACGGAGTTGTACCTCAGCCTTCGTTTCTACACACCTACAGATGGGTCTGGGTCCTGCAGACACCCTTCTAATCAGGCATGTAGTGTGGTTACAGTATCTGCTATTCATCCGTCTTCCAAGCCAATTGTCCGGTGCAGGGTCGCTGGAAGCCTGGAACCCATCCCAGGAAATGGAGGCCCCAAGGTGGGGGAGCACTTTGGGCTGGATGCCAGACCATGAGCACACAGGCACATTATTAGCAATTTAGAGACACCCCTTCAGCTAACCATACCTCCAGGGCAACCGCTAAGGCAGCGCTAAGGGGCGTGTCGCTAATTACAGCGCATTGCCACACCCACCGAACCACCTCCGGGGTGAGGGCCTGAGAGCTGCCATGCAGTGGGTGAGACCTCAGCACCACATTAGTCCAAATGGAACAGTGTGAGTTTTTTTTGTGGTAGCTGGAGCGCCAGTTCTGCCCCCAATCCCCAAATTTCCCTACAAGTTGGAGGACCTCCTTACATGGCTGGATGTAGACTGTCAATTCTGTTACACCAAACTGGGATACGTTGCTGAAAATATATCCGACATTTAAGAAGCTTTAGCCAGGCCAAAAAAACAACAAGGGCTATAAGGTGTTTATCACTACACACATGCAAATATACTCAGTTTTAGTTCATTGTGATAGTTGCGTTTTTGATGTTTTTATTTATTTTGCGTATTTTTTATCATGTGCAAATGAGTGTCTCTTAGGTTTTGTCATTCAGACCTACGCATTGCTTTTTACAACTGTTCCTAATTGTTTGCGGTTTTAATAATAAATAATTTAAATATCCTGTTTTCCCTACTGTACTGTGCACTGAACTGTGAACCTTGATGTTTGTATCAAACTATGAATTTTGTTTACTGTTAGACTTCTATTGGCCTAATGTTATCTGTAGATGGTTGTTTGGTAACCTGGCTAGGGCCAGCAGGTTGCGAAATAGCGCAGGTTACTTACCTGGAAGGGTTGGTGACATTTACACCTAAATATGAGTTGCATACGCCGATTTCCAATAAAGGTACACTATTATAGAACAGCATAGAATGCAATTCTATGGTAGCATTATCCTGCTGAAAACCAGTTCCGGATCATTCCGCCATGTTTAATTCCAGCTGACCAATAGACATGTAAGGTGTACAGCCCCCTCTAAGACCCGCCCACTCATTAAAAAAGTGCCAGAAGTCAGAAGCATAAAAAATCCAAAAAATTATTTTTTTAAAATTTGGTTAATTAATTTATTAATTAATTATTAATAATTTGCTTCCAGTTTTTAAAAATTTTGATTAATATTTTTGGCACAAAATTTACTCCATACCCTTGTGGTTTGTGCTTTCTGGGATGGACTTCAGGCTCATTGCAGACCATAAATTCATAAGATGGATGGATGGGTGGCTAAATAGGTTTGTTAGAGGAACATTTAAGTAACTTTTTTTTCATCCTGCTTCTTAACAGAATATGAATAAATGGCACCCATCATTGCTGAATCATATTATTGAAAAATTATGTGCAAATAATCTGTTGAGATCTGACTGTAAGTAACTCAAGTAGTTGTTAATTTCTTCTTACAAGGCAGAATAACACAGGATGCAAGTTGAGACGGCTGGTTGTGCTCACAGTGACTCCAGTAAATCATATTTTAAATTGTTAAGGCAAAGCTGAGAGAGAGAGTAATTTGTTCTGTCATGGTTATAGATTGTGCTTCTAAACTTTGTATGTACTGTGAGTCTACTGGTAGAGGTATTGGTGGAGTGTTGTGAGAGCATTATTACATATTCTCACTTGCTATTTCATCATGAGGACATTTCTTTCATTTTCTACAGTAGGTACAGCCATACTGCTGGAGTGCACTTGAGTGTTTTTGTTTCCTGTCCGTTGGAGGGATTGCATCTGGCCATTGACATGTGGTTAATCTCCTCATGAAGAAAACGAAAAAAATGGTATTTAGAAACGGAGGTAGAGAGGAATTATCTTTCTGTGGAAATTTCCTGCTGTTGTGTGGAGGAGTTTGTGTTTTGCCGTAAAGCTTATGGTCAATAGGTTTTTATCTGAAATCTCTCCATATGGGTTTCGCTTTTGAAAATATTCTTCCAAACAAGGAGTTGGAGTATTTTAAGCTGGATTCAGCTTCGATGAACCAAACCTGGCTGCCAAGGTCACATACCGTTTATTTTATGGCAGCACGTTGTTTTGGTTTTTAGATTAGATCTTTCGAAATGATTAAACTTGATTTTAGTTAAACGATAGTCTATGGTTCAACATTCTATTACTGAGAAATTTTCATGAACCAGTGATATTGACATTCTGCCCCTATTATGAAGTACCAACACATACTTCAAAACTTCAAGTTTCTTTAAGAGGAATTTGCACGTTGGTATGTATGTAACCGTTGGTCTGAGCCACTGTTAACCTGATGAAAAGTGAGCTTTCTGACGATCATTGTGTTTGATGGCGGTCACAAGCGTGAATATTATTTTATCATTAGGAACAAACAAAATATCTCAAGTGAATCGTAGGATTTGTTCAAAGTCTGTGTTGTGTGATAGCACATATAATGTGCTATCAAACATTATATGTGCTATTGTTTGTGGACTGCACAGAGAACCCGTCCCTTCACAAACCAGCCACAGATCAGCCGGGGTAATGAGATTGGAG